AGTTTCCCCCAGAGCTAGTAACTTAGTTCAGAGCAGGCTGTTTTAAATTAGACGACATCTGTACCGCATTTAGAACAGTGCCTTGCACTTAGTAGGTACTCAACAAATGTGAGCTATTAGGGTCATAAATATGGTTATGATCATTTCCCAAGCAATGCCAGGTGGCTAGCTAATAATTATAGAAATAATATGGTATCTCAGAAGACAGGGAGAAAGGAAATTTATAAAGTATTCAAACAGAAGCCTACCTTAAAGTAAATTTTAAATAACTGATTCACCAGAAACAGCATCCCCCACTTCTTAGAGTCCTCTATGCCAGCGCGACTACGGGAAAATAAGTTTAAGTTACATAGAAGGTAAAAACTTTATACATAAATTACCAAATAAACTGCCTAAACAAATTACTATCTTGAGATAAAATCCCACAGCTCAAGTCATACTCATCAAATAAAATAACACTGTGAAAAAAGATGTCTTATCTGATAGGTAAAATTGAAAAAAAAAAAGAGCAAGCCAGGAATTTTAATCCCAGTTACGCATTTGGGTAACATACTCCCTCCTCCACACCAGCTGAAAACTGCCTGGTTTACAGCAATGTTATATAAAAGCTGATTGTTATAAAGCATTTTTGAAAAATGGAAAGAGTATTTTCTTGTATCAGTACAACAAAATGAGTTAGTGAAATACATAGCGAGGATGAATCTCAAAAGGAGGAAGACGCAAACATACACCCTGTAGGAGCCCATGTACGCGAAGCTGCCAAACACAGGACTAATCCACGGTGAGAACACAAGAACAGCGGCGAAGCGCCGCAAGGCAAACTTCTAGGATGAAAAAGTGTCCTGCCTCCCTGCAGGGTCTGGGCCATGCAGGTGTGCACGCATCAAAAACCAGCAGACACACGGTTAGGACGTGTGTGCATCCCATCATATGTAGATTTTACCTCAAAAGACTAAAGAGAAAACTGAAGTATTTAGGGGAAAGTGTACCAATGTTTGTGATGAACTTTGAAACACATTTAACAAAGAAAAGAAGAAAGCAGAAATGGATCAATGGACAGATGGAAAGACACATGAATAGACACAACGGAGACAGTAGAGGCCAAGCATCCCTAATCCAAAAACATCCCAAACCTGAAACACCTCTGGTCCCCAGCACTTCAGATAAAGGACATGCCACCAGTATAGTCAAAAGTTAGTAGCAGAGGTGGTGGATACATAGATATTCAATGTAAAATCCCTCAACTTTGCTGAATGTTTAAAATTTTTCATGATAAGACACTGAGACAAAAGTCAGAGTTGAGGTGGCCACGTATATTCACTCTGCAGATGGCTCTCTACTGTAGAGCTTGCCGACGCTCTTTCTGGTGGTGCCAGAAAGAGAAAGGCCCAGTGGCACGTTGCCTAGGAATACTAAATCCAAGTGCAAGAAGTCAAGGCACAAAAAAATAGAAGTGCCCAGAACAGAAAACAAGCAGGCTGTTCACAAGCAGGGGAAAATGAAATCTCACCTGAAGATCAAAATGTGTCCACACAGACTCACAATAACGTGAAATACAATTTAATTCTAAAAATCAAAGCCTGCTTGATAACTGCCCAGTTAGCTGCTACAACCAGTTCATGTGATTTTACCACTAACTGGGAGCATGGCCTCAGGTGAGACACTATCTCTAGGTCTCACTTTCCTCACCTGTCCATGGGGACAAGTGCACAGACAAGCACCCTATGACTTATGGAAAGTGCTACATCTGTGGTGGCGCCCTCGCCGTCCGGCACAAGGAGGAACAGTCTCTTTTGGAGACAGGGGACCATCAGTCACTTGGGTTTGCTTCAGTAGTTCGGGTGTCCACCTAGGAGTAGGACTGCTGGATCACGCGGCTGCTGTGTGTCTCACTTTCTGAGGACTGCCGCAGCACGTGCATGCCGACCAGCAGCGCCCAGGGCCCCGGTCTCCCTGACTGTAGCCAGGCCGAGGGTGTGAAGCGGCAGCTCGCCTGCTCTGATGTAGCTTCCTTCTTGTCATGTGTATACAGGCCATTTGTGTATCTTCTTCGGAAGATTTCCAAATCTTTTGCCTATTTTTAAATTAGATTATTTGTCTTTTTTAATTGTTGAGTTGTGATAGTTCTTTATGTACTACACCCTTATGAGATGTATTATTTGCAAGTATTTTTTCCCATTCTACCATTGTTTTTTACTTTTTGATAGTACCCTTGGAAGCACAAACATTTTTCATTTTGATGAAGTGCAATTTCTGTTTTTCTTCAGTTGCCCGTGCTTTTGGTGCCATAGCTGAGAAACCACTGCCTGACCGAAGGAAACAAGGATCCCTGCTGTGCAGGAGCACACAACCAAACAAAATTCCAAGCATCCACTTAATAAACACTCACGCTGCTACAACGGGGCGGGCGGGGACACTGACGATGCCCTCGGGCGTGCTGCAGTCTAATGCATATTAAATACGTCACCAAATGTCACTTTGGCGAGCGCAATGAGGGAGAAGTCCAGCTTGCTACCAAAGTTTCCAAGAGCAGAGTCTACTCCACCTCGAGGCCTGGTGGCGAGAGGCTTTGCAGAAGCCGGAGACTTTGGAGTGAGCAGAGGTGGCGGGGCAGGGTCGGGAGCTTCTGGGCAAGGCACACAGGTTTGTGAAAAGCCTCAGTGGGAAAGTATCTGTGTGCACTAAGGCACTTTTGAAAGTCCAGCTCGGCTAGAACATTTTGAAGTGGGGCTGAGGTACAGGACAGAGTGCTGGAAACATGAAGCTGGTCTACATTCTGGGAACAGTTTTAAATCTGTTTATTTACATATGGAGAGCTTTGCTTATCTTTCTTTGCTTTACAATTTCTTAAAACTCGTAAATAAATGGGACCATATAATGGGTGAAGAGATAGAGTTTTAAGAGAAAAATGGAAACTCTGAAGTAGACTCACATGGAAAGTTGAGAAATAAAAAACAAATAGTGGCAAATAAGATCAGTCAACTTGAAAGCAGATCAATGCAAATTACCAAAAATGAGGGGAGAGAGAGAGAAAAGATTGGAAAACAAACAGGGCACCGGTGCCCTGTGGGATAATACTCGTTTTCTGACACACACACCATTGGACTTCAGGAAGCACAAGAGAAAGAATGGGGCCAAAAATTCTTTGAAAAAAGAATGTAAAAACTAAATTTTAAAAAATCAAATAAAAAACATCAACTTACAAATCCAAGCAGCTCAATGAACCCTAAACAGGAGAATTTTAAAGAAACAGTAACTAGGCACACCAGAGTCAAATTACTGAAAGCCAATGATACAGAGAAGGGAACAGCCAGAGGAGAAAGGCCCATCTGGGACGGAACGGTGGGGAGGACGACACCTGATTCTGCGGCCAGGAACAAAGGAGGCCAGACGGAATGACATATTTACATCTCCGCAAGGGAAAAACAGTCCAGCTGCCAAGTCTCCATCTAGCATAAGGAGTCTTAAAGAATGAAGATAAAATAGAGGTGGTTTCAGAAAAATGAAAGCTTAGAGAAAGCTCTTCAGTGGAAGGGAAACAGCACCCGATGGGAACATGGGTCTGCATGAAGGAGCTCCAGAAATGGTAAATATGCAGGTAAATGTAAAAGACTCTTTTTTCTCTTTTCAGATTTCCTTTACAAAGCAGTTGACTTTTTAAGGCAAAAGTAACAATGATTGCGGGGTTACAATATGCACAGAAGTAAAACATGTCCATAGTAAACAGAGGGCAGGCAGGAAGGGCTGCACTGTTGCAGGGGAGACCAAGTGCCTCGCAGATCTCCGTGCCCTTACTCACGTGTCGCTGGCACACACGCGGAAGCAGCTCATCAGCAGTTCAGCTGCTTTCTCCAACATGTCCCCAACTTTGCTCTTTCCTTTCTTTACCAACTGTTGATCTGCCTAATAAAACATAAAAACATTGGTTTTTTGGTGCTTTATTTTGGGTGGCTGGCTGGTACAGGCATTGAACTTGTGACCTAGGCATTATAAGGCTATGCTCTAACTGCTAATCAGCCAGCCAAAACATTGGTTTTTTAAAGCAAAGATAGGTGAAATTAAGTCAGAGTCCCAAAAGGTTCTGGAGAAATCATCTAGTGTATACTATAGTATTTTTTAAAATTTGGAAGTCTATACATTATCCCAATTCCTCCACAAATCAAATCTTTCTTTGACTAATTGAAGCTAATCAGTCACCAGTTTTTAAACCCTGCATTGTATGTGACACTGCGCTAGCTTTGCCTACCTCAGTCCCTGAACGTCACATCTCCTAGGAAGGACTAGTCAAAACCCTTGAAGCAAAAACTTTGAGCGGATAGTAAGTCATTACTAAGCCCAACTCTCTCCTTGTTCCAGAAGGACAGCCTTGGTTAGAGAAGAAGGAAGCTCTGTTTCTCCCACTCACTTCTCCATGAATGCATAGGGGCCCTCAACACACTTGCAGATGATCCTCATGGTCAAAACCACTTTCCTGATAGCACTAAGCCATTACCTGTCTCTCTTACTGTACTGACAGTTGCACCGATGGTGCAGACACAATGGTGGGTTGTGCACCAGAGCCCTCCAGTGGCACCGAACTACACTGGAAGTCGCTGTGTCCTCGACACCATGCATGTGCGATCAACAACAAACCAAAGAACCAGTGTCGCTGTTCAGTCCTTGATGGTACAGTAAACATCAGCTTCTTTATCTCCTGGTCCTTGAGCACACGTTTTTTCAGTATTCTTTGTGATGAGGTGGGAAGTGTGCATGATGCGTGCCTGCTGTGCACTGGTATGCAACGGTGTCTGAGGGACAGAACATGGCGACGGCATGCTTGGTGTGAGTAGCTGCTTTCCATAGGACAAACAGAGGACAGACAAGCATGGCCAGCAGGGCCTGGGTAGCTGGCAGACCACTCTCCAAAGTGAACCACACAAGCCTGTCACTTCAGGAAAACAATGGACAGCATTTGTTGACAAAGACATTTGTGCTTTCAAGCAAAAAATATAATTCTGGAAAACTTTTATCAACCACCATGGCAGCTTCCCATTACTTCAAGATGTTTCTGATGAGCTCCCTGAAGATATTAACAAATGTAGAGTTTTCTGTTTTTGGTTTCTTTAACGTAACGAAGTATGCATTTGGAACTGCTGCCTAACTTAGTGAGCCAAAATTTTCCAAATGGTCTGCTACGGTCTGAACATTTGTGTCTCCCATCCCCCAATTCATATGCTGAAATCCTAACCCCCAAGGTGATGTGTTAGGAGGTGGGACCTTTAGGAGTCGATTAGGTCATGAGGGCAGAGACCTCATGAATGGGATTAGTGCCCTTATAAAAGAGGCTCCAGAGCTGCCTCCCCACTACCCTCATGTGAAGATGCAGTGATACGGAGTGGTCTGTGAACCATGAAGCAGTCCTCACCAGACACCGAATCTGCCCGCACTTCCATCTTGGACATCCCAGCCTCCACAACCATGTGAAACAGATTTGTTGTTTATAAGCCATCCAGTTTATGGCATTTTGTTACAGCAGCCCGAACAGACTAAGACATGATGAAGGTATGTACTGTGGAATGATCAAACTGTGTCCCCCAAAGTTCACATATTAGAAGCTTAATTCCCACTGTAACTGCTGAGGGTGGGAAATACTATTATGGTAATTGAAAGGTGGGGCCTTGAAGAGGTGACTGGATTGGAGGACCATGCCAGAGTGAATGGATTAATAATGGTGGTCAGGGGTGTGGTTCTGAGGGCTTTAAAAGAGCATGTGAGGGTCTCTCTGTCTCTGCTCCATCATTTTCTGTCATGTGAGACCCTGCATTGCTGTAAAGCCACCACCAGAGAAGACCCTCACTGGATGTGTTCCCTGGACTGTGGACTTCACAGCTTCCGAAACTGTAAGCAATAAATTTTCTGTTTTTTTTTTAATAAAACACCCAGTTTCAGGTATTTACATTATAAGCAACAGAAATGAACTAATACAGTATGATATTACAAAATCATGCATGGATAAAATATCCATTAAAAGTGCATGACAGGGCTGGCCCATGGCTCACTTGGGAGAGTATGGTGCTGATAACACCAAGGTCACTGATTTGGATCCCTATATAGGGATGGCTGGTTAGCTCACTTGGGAGAGTGTGGAGTTGACAACACCAAGTCAAGGGTTAAGATCCCCTTACCGGTCAAATGAATAAATAAATAAATAAAAATAAAAAAATAAAAGTGCATGACAGGACAGCAGATTTTAATACAAAAATAGAGAAAGTTCACCATGACACTTCAAAGGTCACAATGTAATTAACCTTTAAAAAACTGACTCTTGGAGTTTTGGTGTAGTGTCAAGGAAGAATTATCTACAATGATCTGAAAAGGCTATTAAAATACTCCTCCCTTTTCCATCCACATCTGTGTGAGGCCAGAATGTCTTCAAATACTTCAAACCAAACAACATATTGCAACAGAGTGTGGAAGCAGATAAGAGAATCCAGATGGCTTCTGTTTAACTAGACATTAAAGAGATGAAAATATAAAATAATGCCTCTCTTAGTACATTTTGTTTGTTTGGGAAATACAGTTAACTTTCTATTTAAAAAGTCAGTTATGGGCCGGCCCAGTGGCGCACTGGAGATCGCGCCGCTTGGGAGTGCGGCGGCGCTCCCGCCGAGGGTTCGGATCCCATGTGGAGACCGGTTCCCGCTCACTGGCTGAGCGCGGTGTGGGCGCAACACCGAGGGTTGCGATCCTGTTGCCGGTCCCCAGTATGGGCGCGACACCGAGGGTTGCGATCCCGTTACCGGTCAGTAAAAAAGACAAAAAGGAAAAAAAAAGTCAGTTTTATTAACATGTAAAAGGTTTATTATTTTAAAATGAATAAATATTTTTAAAATTTCCCAGTTAAAATTTCTAACACAGTAAATATAAATACGCATAACAGAAATAAACGAAAGTTCTCTAGGTCCTCAGTTAACATATCTTTTAGTTCCACAATTTCTTCTTGACTCTTCCTTATGTCCTCCATTTCTTTGCTGAGATTTTCGATGTGTTCATTTGTTCAAGCACATGTTCAAAATTGCTCACTGAAGCATTTTTATGATGGCTGCTTTAAAATCCTTCTCAGACAATTCCAACATCTGTGTCATCTCAGAGTTGGTGTCTGTTAAATGTTTTTTTCTCATTCAAACTCTCAGAAAGTTGAGATGTTCCAGGTTCTTAGTCTGATCGGTGATTTTCAGTCATATCTTAGACATTTGTGGTATCATGTGACAAGACTTCAGAACTTCTCCATCTTGTGCCAGCAGGCCACTGAGTAGGGTGGGGGTCCAGGCCCCCAGGGCAGTCTTTGCTGACAGGCGGAAGGGACCTGCAGATTCTTTTGTTGAGTATGACATGGGGTGAGGCAGTTACTGTCTTGCTGGGCTATCTTCCCCACTGCCTGGTTTCCTTGGGGCTTTTTCATCTCTGCCTGTTGGTAATTCCAGACACCCAGTCCAGGACAGATGGGAGGCAAAAAGAAAACCCAGGGACTCACTGCATGTGACACCACGGGCCCCAGTCCGCTGCTTCTCTCCCCTCTCAGAGCCATGTTGGCTTTATAACTCCCAGGGTTTTAACTATTTGTAGCAGGAGGAAGAGGGAAAAAGGTCTCTACCACCTCTTTTCTGGAATCAGAAGTCATCAGTAATTTTTTAAACTATAAAGGGGTCCTAAGACCAAAAACTTGACAACTGATGTTCCGTAACTGGGGCTCATGCTGATCCCCAAGGGGAAGTCACCCATAAAATCCAACATCTCTAACCCTGACACCAGAAACACCCTTAGCTACTGCCTGAATGTACACTGAGCTACAACTCTTTATGACAGGAGTCAAACCACCTCTTAAGAGTGAAAGAGAATGCAGAATCGCTCATTCGCTACTGTTTCCCTTTTTTTTTTTTCCTTTTTGTCGTGTCCGGCAACGGATCGCAACCCTCAGTGTCACACCCGTACCGGACCGGGACCGGCCACGGGATCGCAACCCTCGGTGTTGCTCCCGCCCCTCGCTCAGCCAGTGAGTGGCCGGTCTGTATGTGGGATCCAAACCCTCGGCGGGAGCGCCACCATGTTTCCCAAGCGGTGCACTGTAGCAGTGCACCACCGGGCCGGCCCTGTTTCCCTTTTTTAAAAAAAACAACGCATGTCATAACTGGTTAACCACACACAAAAACATCTCCCTCTATACTGACAGTGGGGAAATCTGAGCAAATGTTTATTTAAATCTGTTTGTGCCAATCCAGAAAGAACAATCAGTCAAGCCATCTCCTGCTCTTGTGCTCCCTATACCAAATACACCCTCAATCCTTTTGGAAAGAATGACATGAAATCAAGCAACAGATAAGCACCAGGTTTTAATTTTAAAATAACAGTGATAGGAAATTAAACTTACGTTGTTGGCAAATACCCGAAGGTCAAGTGCTACTGCATACATGACAGGCAGAGCCCTACAGGACAAAAGCAAACATGTTTGAATAGGCTATGGGGTCCAAGAGCTCATCCTCAGATTTCAGAGGTGGGCAGAACACCAACAGCCAGGACTACTACCCAGCATGGGGTCCATACCCTTCCGAAAACTCAATGGCCTCTGCTTCTTCACCCCCCGCATCAAGGCAGACTGCAGCCCCAGGTTTCCGGGTCAACCTTGAGGCCACATGCTGAAGGGCTCCACACCCACTGCCCCCACCCTGTTCAGAGGCCCAGACACTGGTCCAGTTAGGGGTTCCCAGGGCACCACCTCCCTCTCCCTTCTCCACCACCATCCAAACAGCTCCACTATAAAAGACTTGGTTTGATAAGATTTCCCAAAAGAAACCAGAGTATGTAACACGCAAAATGTCATAAAACAACTTTTTATACATCTAACTAGCAATACTGGACTTCTTTTCATGTGTAAGACTAGTCTTCACTCAAAAAGGGAAAAGGTGGATTTTTTGTTTGTTTGTAAAAGGCCTTTGGTTATTTTAGTAGAAACAAATCCCAGAATCTATGTATAGTTTGTTGACAAAATCATAAATCATAAAATTAAGAATTAGTTGTTTGGTAAGGAATTTAAAATAATCCAATTATTACATATATCACACAAATGAACTGTACTTGGTCTGTCTCTTTTACCCAAAGTTTAAAACCAAAAGTAAATTCAAAATTGACAACTGAAGGAAAAAACAGTATTTAATAAATATTTGGGTGCAGGAAAGTGCTCAAATAAAAATTATACTTTATAGAGATATACTGCAAATAATCTGGCTGATCTGCCATCTAAGTTTACATAGACTGTTATAATTCCATTATCAACATACTAATGTTAAATATCCACATAGAGAGAAAAATACATATTTATTTAAAACAAATTTTACAAAGTTTTTGCTAAAAAAAATTGCCATTTGCTAATTTCTAGCTGTTTCTATTCATACTTACCAATTTTCTTCTTTGTGGGCCTGGAACGCCCTCAAGAATGATATACCATATTAAGGAACGTATCCCATACACAAATTCAAATAATGCTACACATGGTAAAAATAAAGAATAAGAAATAATCTAAATTTTAAGGAATGTAGCTCATCCTCTAGAAGATTATATGTCACAATAGTAGTAAGTTCTTGAAGGAAAAAAGGTATAAGCCCACATCACAAACATCTGTATACTATCAGATATAAGTATACTAAATATATTTACTTCATACACACTTTCTCCAAAATAAGAAAGACTTATTATTATAAGATTTTTAAAACCCAGCAATTTCAAACATTTTATTTAGTTTCTCTGAGCCCAGATGATCACAAGTTATACATGTAAGTGCCTTAGAATCTACAGTATAAAGTTTATTTTATCAACTATAGAATTCTTTAATTCCAAAAAGACTTACTAGTTAGTAGCTTGCTTTCTTCTGGGTATATTTTTAAAAGATAGTTAAAAATAAAAAAAGCAAACTAAAATCTAGAGATACATACAAATATTTAGAGTACTCTTTGATTGGGCCTTAACTATGAAATATCATTTAAACGACTTAAGAAACTGACTGAAGGTCTTTAGTGACCAAAACTAAATGACAGTGTGTGTGCAAGCCCACCCCTGTCCATCCATGCCTGAATTCTGGACTTAACCAAGCAGACTTAACCCATCCCTGTAACTACACTTAATGCCTTAAAGACAACAAAATATTATTCCTTTCAAAGGAATTAAATAAAATCCTTCCTCTTAACCAGTTTCTTCCTTAGTATATTAGTAACTGACTGAGTCTTTTTTTTTTTTCCTTTTTGTCTTTTTTACTGACTGGTAACGGGATCACAACCCTCAGTGTCGCGCCCGTACCGGGGACCGGCAACAGGATCGCAACCCTCGGTGTTGCGCCCGCACCTCACTCAGCCAGTGAGCGGGAACCGGTCTCCACATGGGATCTGAACCCTTGGCAGGAGCACCGCCGCACTCCCAAGCGGCGCACTCTCCAGTGCGCCACCAGGCTGGCCCTGACTGAGTCTTAAGATCCATGCTAGGGCCGACCCCATGGCTCACTCGGCTGAGTGCGGCGCTGGGAGCGCAGCGGCGTTGGGAGCGCCGAGGCCGAGGGTTCAGATCCTATATAGGGATGGCCAGTGCGCTCACTGGCTAAGCATGGTGCTGGCCACACCAAGCCAAGGGTTACGATCCCCTTACCGGTCACATACACACACAAAAAGATCCATGCTAAACTGAAGTACCCAAGTGAAATAGCTAACATGAGTTTCTCTTCCAAAATATTTTAATTCCTTCCCAATTGCAGGTGTGAACAACTGGCCCAATGTATGAAGATCTTGGACCCCAAATTGTCCACTCTATCTGCTATACGCTGGACAGCTACCACAAACAACAAAGGATACTGAACTATCACGGTCTGGCACTTGTAGGCCTCTATGAAATCATGGTTTCCCACTGCGTAAGTGCACCTGGAAAAAAAACGTGGGAGGGTGAGAATCATGGCATCTGAAAGTATATTTACACAATAAAAACCTAGATGCTGGCTCTATGGACCACAAAGCTCACTTCCGTCACAAACATCCTAGTTCTCAACTGGTCCTGGACAAAAGCTTGTGCTCCTTCTTGGCAGGTAACAAAAGGTTGAAGGAAGAAACACACAAATGACTATTTGAACCAAAACTGGCTGCTTGAAGATGAAATCCCATGTTAAGCTCCGAGACCATTCAAATCCTGGAAAAATATAGTTCCAGCAGGTTTCATGAGTAACAGGTACTGATAACACGGTGTGGCTCTTCCACTCTATCCGTGGCCGACAGTGGTGTGGGTCAGTTCCTCACCACACAGCCAGGGATAGCAGGGACCTCACACCGGAGGGGCACGGAGGCACCCCAGCTCTTCCAAGACCCACAGGGTTTGCAGGGCTTCCTGTGCACAAACTACAACTCGCCCCTGCTCCACAGCCTGCTCAGAACCAGCAGACACCCAGGCAAGATGCCATCACCTCCCACACGGCTTCAGCACCCCAAGTTCTGCCCAGGCTGGTGCTTCAGGGTAAAAAAGAGTAGATGCGAAGCGTCCATAGAAAGCAGTGTTGTGTCTGCTTTGCTTGAGTCCAGTTTCTTTCCCAGTAAGGCAAAAAGGTTAAAAAACAAACTTATGTCCATGAAAAAAGCAAGTCAATTGTTTGGTTCCACACCCTATTAAACAAATAAAAGACCACTAGCCAGTCAATATGATAAATATTAAATGACTTTTTTTATAATACCACATAATAAAC